AGGTGTCTGTGTATATGTGGTATTTTTGGGTTAGCGAGAAGCTGATCTCCTCCATCGTTCTGATGCTTTCTACTTTCTGTACGCAGTCCCTAACTTTTGGTGGAGTGGCTTTTTTCCAGTGTAGGGGGATGAGCAGATTTGCCACTGTGAGTAGAGGTGTGCCTAGAGGTTTTGTGGCTCTTGGTAGAGAGGAGGGCAGCATATGAAATAAGAGTGCTTCAGGTGTATAAGGTATGGTAATTCCCAATATGATCTGCATTAGACTGGAGATCCTTGACCAAAACTTTTGGATCACTGTGCATGACCACCAGATGTGCGCCGTGTCCCCAGTGGTATGCAGGCACCTCCAGCATTGACTGGATGTGCCCGGGAAAGATTGTTTACGTTTGGAGGGAGTATAGTGCCATCTAGTTATCCTCTTGTAATTACTTTCTTTTATCGCTAAGCTGGTGGAGAATGTATGTATCTGTAGGAATATTTGCTTCCATTGTTTTATCTGTGAGGGATAAGTGTAGTTCTCTTTCCCAGCTTAGACTGTATAGTGGGGTAGTAGGTGAGCGACTGTAATAATGCATACGTGGTTGTTACTTGTTTCCTTTTAAGTGTGCGGTGGGTGCATGTAGTTTCGAATTTGGACAATGCTCGGTTTCCTTGTTGGGGATATTTGTTCATTCGTAGAAAGTGTGTGAGTTGTTCGTAGTGAAATTTTAGTAGAGTCGTGTGGTTCCCATCTGGGATCAAGGATGATAAGGGCTTAATTCCCTCGCTGTCAAGGAGGGCCTGTAGTGGTAGGTATGGGGTGGTGTAATATTCTTGGTATGCTGACCCAGATTCTCCTGGTTTGAAGAGTGGGTTGTGGGTTATTGAGTATAAAGGCGAAGGGTAGGTTGATATATCTGCTTGATGTCTCACATGTGACCTCATTCTCAGTGTAGGGGTAATGGTTGGGTGTTGCCTGTGCTTGAGTAGTGATTGGCCAGATTTCTGCCAGGGTACTGTGTAAATGTGGACACGGAAGAAAGTATCCTCTATGGTCACCCATTGTTTGGTTGTGTCTGCCCATTCGTAGATCCTGGCTAATAGTACTGCATTGTGGTATTTTTCCACATTTGGCAGCCCCAAGCCTCCATCTGCTTTGGGTCTCATAAGCAACAAGTAGGCCAGCCTAGGGTGCCTATATGACCAAATGGATGTTGTAAATAGTTTGCGTATCGTGTCAAAGAAGGTCTTGGGTAGCGTGATCGGGAGAACTTGGAGCAGATATAATATTCTAGGGAGGGCATTAATTTTTAGGGTATTTATCCTACAAAACCAACTAAAGTGTGGAGTGTGCCACATTTTGAGGTCTTTGGATATTGCTTGAATTAACAAGGGAAATTGCATTCATATATTCGTGTTTATAGCGGAGGGAAGTACTACCCCTAGGAATTTTATAGATATGTTGCTCAGGTGAATGGTAAGGTTGATTTCAGGTGTGCTTTTGTTGAGTCTGGTAGGAGGATTTCACATTTACTCAGGTTGGCTTGGAAGTTGGAGACTCTGCTATAGATAGACTTTTCCTGCAGTATGTGAGGGAGTGAAGTGGTGGGCTCTGAGACAATGAACAGCATGTCATCAGCAAACGCTGTTACCTTGTGTTCCACCCCTCCCAATTTGAAACCTTTGATACTGAGGTTGTCTCTAACTCCCTGGAGTAATGGCTCCAGGAGTATTATTATTATTATTATGTTATTTATATAGTGCCATCGAATTCCGCAGCGCTTTACAATGGGTGGACGAACAGACATGTAGTTGTAACCAGACAAGTTGGACACACAGGAACAGAGGGGTTGAGGGCCCTGCTCAATGAGCTTACATGCTAGAGGGAGTGGGGTAAGATGACACAAAAAGGTAAGGATAGTATTAGACTAGTGACAGTTGCAGAAGAGGAGTCAGTCAGGAGCTATTAACAGTTTAATTGATACGCATTTATGAAGAAGTGGGTTTTTAACGATTTTTTAAAGGAGCGGAGACTGGGTGAACATCTAACGGAGGAGGGAAGCGAGTTCCACAGGAACGGTGCAGCCCTCGAGAAATCTTGAAGGCGAGCATCCGAGGTGGGAGTACGGACAGAAGATAGACGTAAGTCTTCAGCAGATCGTAAGGGCCTAGACGGGACATACTTGTGTATAAGGGAGGATAGATAGGTGGGAGCAGCATTATGTAGCGATTTGAAAGCAAGAACCAGAATTTTAAACTGAGCTCTATATTTTATAGGAAGCCAATGTAGGGACTGACAGAAGGGTGAGGCATGGGAGGTGCGGGCGGACAGGAAGATGAGTGTCGCCGCCGCATTCATTATGGACTGTAACGGCGCAAGTTGGGAGCACGTAAGACCACTGAGAAGCGGATTACAGTAGTCAAGGCGAGAAAGGACAGTGGAATGGACCAACACCTTAGTCGCATCTGGCGTTAAGTAGGGGCGGATGCGCGCAATGTTTTTGAGATGGAAATGACAGGATTTGGCGATAGATTGAACATGAGGCTTGAAGGAGAGGTCGGAGTCAAAGAGAACACCTAGGCAGCGAGCCTGCATGGTGGAGCTGATGGTAGCACCGTTGACTTGGAGGGAGACAGACACAGGAGTAACAACACTTGAGGGAGGAAAGACCAGAATTTCAGTTTTGGTCAAGTTTAGTTTAAGGAAGTGGGCAGCCATCCAGTTAGAAAAGCAGAGAGGCAGTCAGAGACACTAGTCAAGAGGGACAGGGAGAGATCAGGAGAGGACAGGTAGATTTGCGTGTCATCTGCATAGAAATGATATTGGAAGCCAAAGGAGCTAATGAGTTTACCAAGGGAGGCAGTATAGATGGAGAACAGTAGGGGACCAAGGACTGAACCTTGGGGGACACCAACAGAGAGGAGTTGGGGAGAAGAAGCAGTGCCAGAGAAAGAAACACTGAAAGAGCACTGGAAAAGGTAGGAGGAGCACCAGGAGAGAGCAATATCTTGTAGACCGATATTGCGAAGGATGAGAAGAAGCTGTTGATGATCAACAGTGTCAAAAGCCGCAGACAAGTCAAGGAGAATTAGGATAGAGTAGTGACCACGAGATTTTGCAGAGAGTAGATCATACTTTGGTCAGTGCCGTTTCCACAGAGTGCTTAGCGCGGTAACCAGACTGAAGTGGGTCTAGCAGAGAGTTGGACTCAAGGAAGTCTGTCAATCTTGCATACACAATTCTTTCAAGGATCTTGGATGCAAAAGGCAGTAGCGAGATAGGACGATAGTTGGATGGGGAGTTAGGGTCAAGATTGGGCTTCTTTAGAATTGGGGTTACAGTTGCATGTTGGAAGGGCGATGGAAATATACCAGAGGAGAGAGAGAGAGATTGAGAATTTTAGTGCGAGTAGAACAAAAAGAAGTGGAGAAAGGGGTCCCTCTGTCTCATGCCGTTGGAAATGGTGACTTGGTGTGTTAAATGCGTAGCTTTGCCGTTGGCCTAGAATAAATTGCTCCCCTCCACCGCATCCAGTTCGGGCCAAAACCCATCTGTTCCAGAGTGGCTCACATCAGGGTCCAGTCCACCCTGTCGAACGCCTTTTGGCATCTATGGAAAGTAACAGTGTCTGAGTGTCTCTATATTTGGAGTAATGCATGAGGTTAATGAATTTAGAGATATTATTTTTGGCTCCTCGTCCAGGTATAAATCCGACCTGGTCGGGGTGGACTAACTCCTGGAGCATGGGGCACAGGTGGTTTGCTAGGATTTTAGTGAAAAGTTTAAGGTTGATGTTGATAAGTGAAATGGGTTGATAACTCCCGCAGAGGGTCGGGTCCTTACCCGATTTGGGCAGGAGTGCAATAGTGGCTTCTAGCGCCTGTGGAGGTAAGGAAGCGCCCTTAAATAGAGAGTTAAGTGAGTTTAAGAGAGGTTGTGTTAGCTGGGCAGGAAAGCATTTGTAATATTTGGCCGTGAAGCCGTCAGGGCCTGGGCTCTTCCCCAGCGGGAGGGAGCGTATCGATACCTCCAACTCATCTTTTTAATATGGGAAGGTCCAGTGATTTTTGTATGTTAGGTGGGATTGTTGTGGTAATCCTCTGGCTAAGGAACGCCCTAATGTCAGCATTAGCTGGTGGGGATTCCCTCAGGTTGTAAAGTTTATGGTAGCAACTCATGAAAGGCTAGCATGATATCCGTCATTATGTTTGATGTGGTCCCTTGTGAGGTCTTTATAGAGGAGATAAATGTGGTTTGCCTCTATGTTTTTAGAGCCTGTGCTAATAGTCGTCCCTTTTTACCTCCTTGGGTATAATACCGGTGTCTGGTAAGAAGAACACTCTTCTTGATTTGTGCTCCGCTTAAGGTGGCCAGTTCTGATCATTTATCCAAGAGCGTTTTATATGTGGTGAGGTTTAGGTTTGTTTTGTGTTTGGATTTGAGTGTCCGTATCTCTGCCAAGAGCTTTGTGGACCTTTCTTCCTTCGGGTGCTTGTGCACTGAAGCTAGCTCTATTATTCTGCCTCTGATTACACTCTTCTGTGCTTCCCATAATTATTGGGTCGGAAGAGTCCGGGGAGGTGTTCTGTGCGAAGTATTGTTCTAATGTATCCCTAATTTGGGCCAGTGAATGGGTGCAATGTTGGAACCCTTGTATCGTGGTAACTAGGCAATACTGACACTGGTAAATAATATATCAACATACGACCTGAGCCAGTCCAGTTTCACATTGGGGTGGATTTTGGGGTTAAAGTTCGGAATTTTTAAAATTTTATTTTTTGTCGCTGCCTTCGATGAAATGAAGTGGTGTGGTTTGTGAGTCCAGTTCAGCTGGAAACGGCTTGTCTGTTCCCCTGGACTTGTCAGTTCCCCTGCTTGGTCTTGTCAGATTTGTCGATCTGTTGTGATGTGTGGGTCTTGGAAGTTTCTTTTAGGGTATTGAGTCATTCGTGTGGGATGGAGAAGTGTGCAATGGAGACCGTTGTTGAGCTTCCTGTCTTGTGTGGTACTGACTGCCTTCTTATGAGGTTTCTGCATATGCTGTACCTGTAGCCCTCAGTTGGTCGGTAATGGGCTTGAGGGATCTTCTAGCGTTGAGTGTCAGCCATGATAGGTCCGGGAAGACCTGAATTTCATGTCCGTGGTAAATCAGCGGGGGGTGGTCATTAATCTCATCTTTAATGGTAAAGTAATGCAGTCTGCATACAATGTTACGGTGTGTGTCTGCGGTGTTCCTAAGTTTGAGTGAGCGGTGTGCTCTGTCAAAGAGTATTGGCATGTCTGCAGCCTTACCAAGTATCAGGTTAAACAACTCTGGCAAGATGGCGGGTAGGTCCTCCCCTCCTGTTTCTGGCAGGCCTCTTATTCTGAGGTTGTTTCTGCATCCCCGGTTGTCAATATCGTCTAATGAGCGTTGCATGTACGCATAATTTGGCGATTGATTTTCTACCTTAGAGGTCAGTATTTGTATCTGCGCATGGATCATGTCTCTGTCCTCTTCTAGTTCCTGTACCCAGTGGCTTACTTGTTTGGCCTCGGTTTCCAGGCCCTCCAGTCTTGTGTGGAATGTAGCCTCGTGTTTTTCCAGCATGGCAGCTAGGTCCATGCGTGAGGGTAATGTTTTCACGATCTCCTTGATGCCTGGGTCTGTATAGCATGAGGAGTTTTCAGAGTGTGCAGGACTCGCGGGTGCTGACTCTAGGAGCAGGCCTGTTGGTGCCATATTGGAATCCAAGTTTTCCAGTGCTCGTTCAGCATATTCCCCGCAGGAGTCTTCCCCGAGGTTGAGTGGCCACTCTGGGTTCTTTTGGGGTTACCCATATTTGGGATTTGCTGCCTGAGTTTCCCGGAACAAATTCAGTGTCTGTCCATGTAGCTCAATGGTTGGCCACACCCCCCTTTTGTGAGTATTTTGTATTCATCATTTTATATTGCTTTTAATCACAACAGAGAGCACTATTGTTTCTGCTTTTTATTTTCTCCTTGGTTTCGTGGTACATCTCCTGCTGCGAACATCTACATTCTGCAAATGGGGATTTATACCACTGAATGCTGTACACTAGCGTTTCCCAATTGGTATTCCGCGGAACCCTAGGGTTCCGGAAGAACAAAATTGGGGTTCCGCTGTGATTTGCCCATCGGGTGGCCCTTATTGCTGCAAAGGCAGCGCCACTGCCAATTAATTGGGCGACCTGGTCTCTGTAGTATGGGATGCTGGGAGGAAGCGATGGACAGACAGTCATTTCCTCCCAGCTTAATATAGAAAACACTGCGCTGGAGGGAGAGAGGCAGCACCTGGCAGTGAGCAGCTCCCCCCCACACACACCAGCCTCAGCCAGCAATTCACACTCCTGCAAACAACAGGTCTGTTAACAGGAGGGTGACTGCAAATATAAAAAATGGCATGTGTGTGTATATATCTTTGTGAAATCTTTGTGTCACTGTGTGTATGTGTCACTGTGTATATTTGAGTGTTTGTATCTGTGTGTCAGTGTTTGTGTCACTGTGTGTGTATGTGCCATTGTGTATCTGTGTGTATGTGTCACTGTGTTTACCTGTGTCAGTGTGTATCTGAGTGTATGCGCCAGTGTGTGTATCTGAGTGTCACTGTGTGTATCTTTCAGTGTGTGTGTATAGGTTTGTGTGTATGTGCCTGTGTGCGTATCTTTCAGTGTATCTGTGTGTTGGTGTGTGTGTATCTGTGTGTCAGCGTGTGTATCTGTGTGCCAGTTTGTGGGTGTGTGTGTGTGCCAGTGTGTGTATCTGTGTGTCTGATTCATACACACTCACACACAGATACACACACTGGCACATACAAAAACAGATACACACACCTTGATACACAGACACTCACTGGCACATACAAAGACACATACACACATTGACACACAGACGCACACCAGCACATACAAAAAAAGGTTTATGCAACTGCACAATTTTTTTTTTAATGGGTGTTGATACACTATGTCAAAGGGTTCCATGGGAAAAATTAATTGGGAACCCCTGCCATATAGGACTAATAGGTTTCTCTCCATGGGGTCTTGGTCTACACAAATATCCTTAAACTCAGTGAGGTCTCAACACGTCTGCATTCAGCAGGGATTCTCAAAGGGTCGGTTTGCCCCTTTCCGAGCTGAATGTCTAATGAGTCTGCCTCCCAGTATTCTCCTGAAAGCTCCTGTCTCCAGTCCAAGGAATGGCCGGGATATGAACCACGGGATATAGTGGCAAGGGATTGAAGGTAAGGACAGTTTTGGATACATGTGCATGCCATATGTGTGTCATAGCTTTTATGAAAAGGCTAAAATGGGTCTAGCAACAAAATATCATTCACTGGTCTGCCAATCTGCTCAAACTCCACTTCCTTCCATAACTTTGTAACCCCCTCTTTAGACCACTCAATGATCCTCAACATATGTGACGCTTGGTAATATAATTTAAAATCCGGCAGGACCTTCAGTAGGTTGAGGGTGTCATGTCATATCCGCGCTATGAGTTTACGCCATACAAACCTCAACATCAGAGATTGGAGAGAAGTTAGGAACGTCTCAGGTATGGCAATGGAAGAAGCATAGGACACAAGGTAGGATATTTAGCTTCACAACCCTCACCCTGCAACCAAGAGAGGTGCGGCGCAAGCCATTCCTTTAGGTCCCTCCATACCCTTATCAACAATGGTTGGAAGTTTGCATGGTAGAGATGTGATAGGTCTTTGTGATCCAAACCGTGAGATTTTTCAAGGAGGACTCAGTCCATTGGAAAGAGAACCCTCATTTTATCTCTTTGGCGCTCCGCTCTGGTTATAACTCACTTTGAGTTCTTAATTTAGTAAATAACCTTGTAAATCTAAAACAAATATAAGAAGAACCATGCGAGTTGAGGCCATGTTTTTTGCTCCCAGCATTTCAGCCAATCAGCTGCGCCCCTGCCTGGCAGCACTCCATGCTTCCTGTAAGTGAAAATTCTGAAGCAGGATGCAACCAGGGGAGGAGTGGAGAGAACGGTTTAACCCCTTGAGGTAAAAGTGCCTCCAGGAGCCTCCTGGCACCAAAAAAAAAAACTAATTTAGATTGTTGTTTTGATGCCTGGAGTGCTCCTTTAAAGTTCAATTTACAGAGCAGGAGATAAAAACTTTCAAAGTAAGTTAACATCTGATTGAAAAGGAAACCATTCACAGCCAGGGGAGTCGTGGGTAGGAATGCATGAACAGAAACAAAAGTGCTTTAACTTCTAAATGGCAGAGAGTTGAACAGTGAGATGTCAAACACGTGATCTATACACCAAAACTGCTTCATTAAGCTAAAGTTGTTTTAATGACTATAATGCCCCTTTAATAATGACAATTTGGTGAAATTTCATATAATCTAGATTTTTATTTTTTTTCTGCAGTCTTATTTGTTCTTTGGCATTTGGAAGCAGCTGCTCTTGTGCCGTCGGTCTGACTGCTAAGCCTCAGGTAATCTGAACTCCTCTTGCCCCTAACCTTGGCCTGTTCTAGGGACTATGCTAACTTTGTGTGTTTTCTGGACGGCGTCACCCCGTGTCATCTGTGTCCTAGTCTTGGTATCTTGTCTCTGGGCCACATTTCAATTCTTATTTTTACCTAATGTTTATCCTTACCTTGTGTCCAGTACTGGGGGCGGGACTTTACCTGTGGCCAGGGGCGGACTGGCCACTCGGGCACATCGGTCATGGACAGAGGGCCCGAGACAGCCAGGGGCCCGGCAGCACAGCCATGCTCCAGCTAGAGAGTGAGGGAGGGAAGGGGTGACTAGTGACAGAGTGAGGGAGGGGGTGACTAGTGACAGAGTGAGGGAGGGGGTGACTAGTGACAGAGTGAGGGAGGGATAGGTTGACACAGTGACAGAGGGAGGGAGGTGGTGACTAGTGACAGAGTGAGGGAGGGGGTGACTGTCACTAGTCTGTTACATTGCTTCAAAGTGACACTGCTAGTGACAGTCACTCAGACGGTCACTAGAGGTGCTTCCTGTGTCAGTGCACCTACATTCAGGGCCTCCACACTCTGTAGGTGCTGAACGTTCCCCATAGAGGTACATTGATTCAATGCATCTCTATGAGGAGATGCTGATTGGAGTGGCGTTTTGCAGCCAATCCTATGGCAAAGCATTGGATTGGCTGAGATCATCAAGCTTGATGATCTCAGCTATAGAGGCAGGGCCAGTCGAGGAGAGACCAGCACGCTGCGTGGGGGAAAAAAAGGTGAGCAAAAACACTATTTTTAAACAGACATATACACCATGACAGACACAGAAACACACATATACCATGACAGATACACACCCCATGACAGACACACACACACACACCATGACACAGACAGGCATACACCCCATGACAGACAGACACACCCCCCATGACGGACAGACACACCCCCCATGACGGACAGACACACACACCATGACACAGACACACACACCATGGCAGACAGACAGACACACACACACATACAGACAGACACACACACACCATACAGACAGACAAACTCACACTGACACACATTACTAATACCTGCCAGGGAGAGGTCTTCTGGCGGCCGCTGGGGGACTTGTACTGGCGGCTGCTGTGGGAGCTGCACTGGCTCTGCTCTCCCACCCTCGCGCGCTGCTGAATGAGACCGGGTCCGGAATATGACATCATATTCCGGCACCAGTCTCATTAAGCTGCGCGCTGGGGAGCAGAGACAGAACAGCTCCCCCATCGGCCGCCAGTACAAGTCCCCCAGCGGCCGCCAGCAGACCCAGGTGTCTGCCCGGCCCCAGGTGCCGACGGCCCACCGGGAAATTTTCCGGTATCCCGGTGGGCCAGTCCGGCCCTGCTAGTCACCCCCTCACTCTGTCAATGTGTCACCCCCTCCCTCACTCTGTCATTAATCACTCCCTCCCTCTGTCACTAGTCACCCCCTCCCTCTGTCACTAGTCACCCCCTCCCTCTGTCACTAGTCACCCCCTCCCTCTGTCACTGGTCACCCCCTCCTCACTCTGTCACTAGTCACCCCCTCCCTCCCGCACTCTGTCAACAGGCCCCCCTTTCTCACTCGGTCACCAGTCATCCTCTCACTCTGTCACTAGTCACCCCTTCCCTCCCTCACTCTGCCACTAGTCACCCCTTCCCTCACTCTGTCACAAGTCACTCCCCCCCCTCCCTCACTCTGCCACCACTCACCCCCTCCCTCCCTCACTCTGCCACCAGGTACCCCCTCACTCTGCCACCTGTCACCACCTCCCACACTCTTCCACCTGACACCCTCTCCCTTAAACACTCTGTCACCTGTCACAAGTGCATTCACACAGACTCAAATACAAACATGCATTGATACACAGGTCTTCACAATATACACATCCAAAGAATGCTGTATTATAGGAGAGTTATATTTAACATTTATTTAATGCACATATATTTGGCCTTCAAAGGGCCTGGGATCTAATTTTGCCCGGGGACCCCAAAGGCTCTCAGTATGCCCCTGCCCGTGGCTGCTCCTGTCTATCTAGCCCACCTGTAGCAGATCATTATTAGCTGGGTATATAAGCACTGCCTCGCCCTGGGAACTTTGTCAGTTCATTGACTCTGGTCTGCTCTTTGGGTCCTGTTATTGTATCCTGATCCAGTCTTCTTCAGACTGATTCCGGCTTCCGACCTTGGCTTATATCTTCGTTTATCCTGACCTCTGGCTTCCCCTGAGTTCGGCTTTCCATGACTACTCTTCTGCTTGTCCTTGCCTGTCCTGCGATTCTGAGCACTTTTCCTGCACAGCCCCCGTGCACAGACTCACAGGTCAGGTGAATTCTTACCTGGTCATCTTGCAAGGGTGAGCGTATATCTCTGCATACCGGACTCCAGATCAGGTAAGATCCCTGACAGATACATTCTCATCTAGCACGGCCAAGTAATTTGTATTTTACTCTGTTATACTGTATGTAGTTTATTAGTAAGAATGCATTATCTTGACATTCATTTTTATATTTTTGTATTATTTCTAGAAAACCATCCTATTATTTAAAAGGAGAACAAACACAAACCTTGCTCATTACTTGCTCTGCTTGCTATAGGCTTTTTAGCCTTAATTACTGCTTAAGACTTCCTATTATCCGTTTGCTAAAATTGAGACTCCTTTGAAATATTGATCCCTATATCTCTATAGAAGTAGAATTCCCATCTCCTCTAGACGCACAATCTTGATAATATTCACACGACTGTCAAATTCAGCTAACAGAAAACAGTGTTTTTAGTTAGAGTAATCCTTTCCTCCCAAGCGGGGAAAAAACCCCAACTTGCCTCTATTGCAAAGTTCTCCCTTCTTCCAGATTCTCTTCCGTGCAGTCACTCCCCCATCACTTGAGGAACAAGGAAGTAGGGGGAAGGGTAATTCGAGAACAGGACATGGATGGCATGGATTGGCATGGCGTGCGACCATTGGATGCCTGTCGCCAGCATGCAGTGCATGTTGATGTCAGAACTGACGGTCTGCAACTCTTGTTCCAGGGTGGCCAATGATGCCCAAATTACTCTGCCGGAGATTAAATTATTATTAAACTCTTTATGTACAGTGTTTCATAGCGAAACTCTGTACATACAGACTCCCGGCACCATAACCACTTCAACTTACTGAAGTGGTGTGGATGCTTAGAGTACCCCATTTAAATATTCCTTTCTTTAAAGTGAATCTTCAGACTGGCAGTGGCCACCGTTAAAGGACCACTATAGTGCCAGGAAAACATACTCGTTCAACATGGATGCTGTCCAGGAAGTAGGAGGGTCTGGGAGGGGAGGGTCTGCCGGAGATTGGCAGGCATGTGTCTGCCGGAGATTGGCAGGGATGTGCGGCAAGTTCGCGACATCACTAGTAGCCTTTAGCCGTTTAAAGAATTGTTAATATTGCTACTGCTATGTTCGACCTAATGCAAACAACATTTGATCTAACAATTTGCATAGGTTTTTGCTAAAAACACAATGCTACAAAAGTACAGGAGACTGGATTAAATGCTATGCAGGTTTTACCATTATCTCGGTAGAGACTCTTCCCTTTATTTTAGGATTCATAGGTTGGAAAGTTGTACTTTTGTTCACGCTGTCATGATGATCTCCCCACTGCATTTTTTGCTGGATCTAGAGTCCGTGAAAAGCATGTATATGGAAGTATCTATAACACTTCATAATGCAGTAACTATCCCACTATGAGTTGTGTGCTTAGGAATATCAAGTGGGTATAGTCTGGTTCTATTTAATAATTTCGGTTTACTGACCTTATCTATGTGGGAGATCGAAACATTGCACTTTTCTTAATAAATCTGCTGTTTAACCCCTTAAGGACCAAACTTCTGGAATAAAAGGGAATCATGACATGTCACACATGTCATGTGTCATTAAGGGGTTAAACTGATCCTCGAGTGCCCGGACCACAACTTTATTCAACTATTACAGTAGGGGTAGCCAACCCTAGGTCTGGCTGCACCAGGATTTTTGATAGGAGTGCGGAAGTCCTCCCTTTTTGTTTATATGTGGGAGGCATGACATTAGTAATGTAATTCTTTCAGCACCATATAAGTGTCTTGTTAGAAAATAGTCAGGGCTACACAAAATTGCAGCTTGCCTACTTATCTTTCCAAAGTCTTTCATCCTCTGGGTTGTGTTGCCTAAGAACTTCATAACTGATACTCAAAGTCCTTTGCTGTATTACAAAACACACCATCACTGAAGAAAGTCCCACTATTGAAATTCATTTTCCATTCAGTATTGAGCTTGTTGTGCACAGAGAACTGGAAGTTGGAATAAGTTGGAGAGAGAAAAAAAACAAATTTAAAGTAACGCAACTTGTTGTTTAATAACGCCCGCAAAAGATCAACTAGTGCAGGTCCTGTTAAATTACATCAAAGGTTTTCAGATAAGGGCCTCGATAATATTGTTGAATAAGTTTTCCAAATGATTTAATATTTTTGGAAAAACTTTTTAAATGATTTAATACTCTGAAAAAAATATATAACTGTTATAATATTTTGATATTGATATTTTTTACACGTTCTATATTTATTGATAGTTTAATATGTTGAAAAAAATATTTTAAAAGTTTATCCAAACGTATTAAATCATTTGGTAAGCTTATACAACAATATTAATTCAAGGCCAAAATGAGAACTCTTCATGTGCCAACCTCAAGACAAGGATTTAACCAATTTCCAAATACTTTTGAAACGGTAGTCTGCAAAACACGCTTCTGAGTATGTGGCTGCAATATTTTGGCTGCGGGCAAAGTTCTAAGAGATTCTCCATTCCACACTCAAGAAATGACCCTGAATGTGGTAACGAGCCACTTCTCTGTGAGTGTAAGGCAATCGTGTATCAGACCTGAAAAATCTAATTTAATGATATGTCTCCTAGGATTTTACCAAAAGTATGTAGTAAATGGAAAATGTATCAGTTCGAGAACAAATGCAGCAAGAATCTTCTCCTTCTTTGGAAACATTTACTTCTATGAACAGATGTTTTCCAGAACAAAGCACTCCAAGTTTAAAATTGAGGACAAAAATTACTGATTGTCATCTAGAGCATTCCCTCCGATTAGCTAGCAAATGTACAGCTCTGGTAAAAATTTTGAGATGTTAAATTATCAGTTTCTCTGGATGCACTATTTATAAGTATGCATCTGACTAAAATGAACATTTATGTTTTATTCTATAAACTAATGGCAACATTTCTCACAAATTAAAATATTGTAATTTTCAGCATTTATTTGCAGAAAATGACAACTGGTCCAAAAAAATGCAGTACAAGTAAATATTTTATTTTTATACAATACTAATATTTGGGGATAGAACAAAAAAATCTTTATTTATGGAAGCACCCCATTATCAACACATCGTCAACCAAATTTCACCGTGGGTGTGAGACACCGCTTGTAGATCTCTCCAGGTCTCCGTCAAACCATTAGATGACCCGATTTTGGGCAAAGCTGAAAATTAGACTCATCAGCGATAACTACCTTACTCAAGTCCTCTACAACCCTCCAGTCCTATTTGCTTCTCTTTAATGAAATGAATTGGTGGTCATCCAGATCAGTGGAGTTGTTTTTTCCTATGACGGTCTTTTGTTTTGTTGTCCCCAATGTCTGCTGCTTGACACTGTTCTTATGAACCTCTTTGAAATTGTAAGGGTGGAAGCAACCTGACGCTCACTGGAGATCCCTCTGCCAGTAAAGACAGAATTTAGCCCTTTTCCTCACTCAAAACTTTTGGCATTGTTAGCAGTTATTTTTCTATTCCAATAAATTTGAGGTACTACTAGCACTGTTTTTACCATTCAGCTATTCCGATTGCAGGAGGACAGTGCCAACCACTGCAGTGGCTTTTATACTTTTACTAATTAAATAAGATTTGTTTCATGTGATCACCTAATCAGTATCTTATTAAGTAGCAATAAGTGTGCCTATTTTGGAATTCAACAGACACTGAAATGGCAGCTATGTACGTAGAGATGCTGATTTGAGAAATCGGAGTGGTCTTTTGTTCCTGAAATTTATTCCAGAGTTGTAGGAATATTTTTGAATACATTTTAAAAAAAATATTTAATATTTCTGAGTATTTTTTAAAATGGTTTGATAGTTTGAAAAATAATTTGTTTTTCTAAGATATAGATTGACATTTTAATATATTGAAAGAGCACAACGTGTATGAAATTTTCAAATTGACCCTAGACTTCCAAAAGGTTTAGCACCCCTTTCATAAACAATTATCAACAATTTAGTGTAACACCTACGAACCTTGTGTGATGCTTGTACCATAGAAGCAAGAGATGCATTCACTATTATAAATGATATGTGCATTGCTTTATGCATTTCACGTTATGAGAGGTTTACTTCACTATAAATGCAGGGCCGATCCTAGGTTCATGGACGTTTGGGTTCTTTGCTTTTTTTTGGGGGCACCCCAGGTGTGCCTGGTCATCTTACTAACCCCTCCCTTTTACAAATGTCCAGTTCAGACATGCCTGTTCCTATGGCAACCTCTCCATCTTTTTGTAATCAGACACACACACACACTAACAGATACACACTCACTGAAAAATTGACACACACTCTCAATGACAGACATACAATCGCATCGATTTTATAACACACTGACACACTCTTAATGACAGACACACATTATCACTTATTTAAAACACATACACTCACTGAAAGACACATTTACACATTCTTGGACACACACTCACAAATTGATTTTATTTATTGTGGTTCTATTTTATTTTTAGTGCCATCCAGACTACCGTCCCTACCTTGGGGAGAGCTTGTGTTGGTCCTCTCCCTGAGGTCCAGTGGTGATCTTTTCCGTGGGATCCAGTGACTCCTGTAATATTTCTGTTCTTCCTCACTGCTCCCTTGTGAGTTGTTTAGTGACGCCAGGGCCAAAGTGACATCATATTCTGGCACCCGGCATCGCCACTGGGTGCGAGGTATCAGTGAGGAACTAGAAGAGCAAGAATATCAGCTCTATCTTGCCTCCTGCCTCCTCTTCCCACTGTTCTATTTCATCAGAGTAGGTACCTGCCAGGTAAGAAGGTGTCTACTCTACCTTAGTGAATAAATGCCCACTTTGGGGATCTTAAAGGTAACCAGCCACTGTGACAAGTAGAACACAGGGACCCTGTTGCACTTGCGACCCCTGTAGTTCTACCCCTGGACCACTCCTTGCAGCGTCCACCCCTTCTGCCTCAGCTTCCTGGCATCTGGGCATGGTGCACTTTCCCAGGATTGGCCCTGTTTAAATGTATACACCAAGCATGTCAAACTTGTGGCCCGCAGGCCGCATGCGGCCTTCAATGAATATTTTTGCGGCCCGTGAGCTTGACATGCTTACTAAAGCAGAGTAGGCACCTGCTCTCCCCACATTGCAGGTGCCTACTCTGCTCGTTTACCCGGCCGAGGGAAAGGTCTCTGGCGGCAGCGAGGGAGCTCAGTCTTCTTGCTCCTCACTGCTCCTCCGCGCTCGCCGTCTGAAGTGAAGCCAGGCGCCTGGAATATCACGTCATTCCGGCATCACTAAACTGCGGGAGCAGTGCGGAGCAAGAAGACTGAGCTCCCAAGAGAAGATCTCACACCAGCTCCCAAAGGTAAGGAGCAATAAATACAATGATTTGGGTGTGTGCAAGAATGTTGAAGTGTGTGTGTGTCTGTCACTGTCACTGTATGTGTGTGACTGTCAGTGTGTGTGTTTGTCAGTGTGTGTGTGTGACTGTCAGTGTGTGTGTGTGTGACTGTCAGTGTGTGTGTGTGTGACTGTCAGTGTGTGTGTTTGTGTATGTCAGAGAGTGTGTGTGTGTCTGTCAGTGTTGCGATGGCCGCGGCCAGACAGTGAAGAACCTGGCGGGGCACGCAACGCCACATTCTGACGTTAACGTGCTCCACCTTCACAGGTTTTCAAGGAGTAGCAGGAGGATGCAGACGGCGCCATTGGGGGTATACCAGAGGCTGGACTCCGGAGTCGCATACTGGCAGCGGCAATGTAAGTGGAGTCTGCTTGTTGACTAATATTTTTTATTTTTTTTAAACAAGTGCTGGGGTTTTCTAGAGGGGGTGCTGGGATTTAGTACAGGGTGGGGGACGGACGGACAGTGAATTAGTACAGAGGGGGGACTGGTATTTAGTACAGAGGGTGGACTGGGGTATAGTAGAGGGGGATGCTGTTTTTTTTTGTTTGTTTTTTTATACTGTACTTTTTAAAACAAACCTACGTTTCTATGAAAATTTAAGGGTTTTTTTTGCGGCCCACACTGATCAGCCACAACATTAAAACCATCTGCCTAAAATTGTGATGGTCCCCCTCGTGCTTCCGAAAGCACTGATGCGTCGAGGCATGGACTTCACAAGACCTACTATGGTATCTGGCACCAAGACATTAGAAGCAGATCCTTTAAGTTCTGGTAGTTGTGAGGTGGGGCATTCATGGATTCGATTTCTTGTTCCAGTACATGCCACAGATTCTCAATCGGATTGAGAACTGAGGATTTTGGAGGCTAAGGCAACAACTTGAACCTCTGTCATGTTCCTCAAACTATTTCTGAACAATTTTTGCAGTGTGGCAGGGTGCATTATCCTGCTGAAAGTGGTCACTGCCTACAGGGAACACCATTGCCATGAAGGTGTGTACGTGATCTACACGTCACAAGACTTCTCTGACCCAGTTGTCTAGCCATCATTATTTGGCCCTTGTCAAAGTCACTTAAATCTTTTTGCTTGCTCATTTTTCCTGGTTCCAAAAAATATGAAATTCAAGAAGTGACTGTTCACTTGCTGTCTAATAAATCCTACCCCTTGATAGATGTAATGATATAATCAATGTTATTCACTTCACCTATTAGTGGTTTTAATGTTGTGACTGATCAGTGTTAGTGCTGGGAAGGTGTCCACGAGTTTGCAAGAAGTGCCAAGAAACATTTTCTGCAGGCATACCCATAGCATTCTTTCAGAAATACTCATTTTATCCTTACGAATACTTTATATTTTTCAAACCTAAAATATGTATGTCTGTAAAAATGATTTATGTCCGTATAATATGCATGCACACGTTCCTAATTGGGCACCAAACTGTGCAGTGTCAAATAACAGACCATATACAGATATGTTAAACTTTCTATTAAATATATCTCGCTCAAATAAAAATATACAGGTTTTATTTATGTAAGGCTGTTTTCGTTACCTGCATTATCCTTGGCTTGGTGTTTTCAGTAGCTTTGGGTGGTGATGAAGAGGTGGAGCCCTCAGCAGCTGCAAACGTGTGCATGCTTGTGCATGCTTGTGCAGAAAAGCAACCATATCATTAGGTTTGTAAAAGCTCTCCTTACACTGTTCTCAGTCCTTAAAGATATAGATGCCTGTGCTCAGTGGTGTATTTTAGATTTTTGCTGCCCTAGGCACGACTAAATTTGGGCACCATCCTAATCTATATTTGCCCCATTAATTCGTGTCAAGATCACTTTTTGTACTGACACACATGCCCTTATTGATACATGCACTGACATACGCTCACTGACAGATACAGTCATTGGCACACACACACTGTTTAACCAACACACACTTTCACTGACAGTCACACACTGACACACCCACACACTGACAGACACACACTCTCAGGTACACACTCACAGACACACACTGACAGCTACACTCACTCACAAATACACACATACTCACAATGACAGACACAAATACAATCACTGACAGACACACACACACACAAATTTTCTCATACACTCTCCAATTATTAATATTTTCTTTAATTGAAATCCACCCAGCCTCCCTACCTTTGGGAGAGCTGGAGTGGATCCTGACCCTGACTGCTGCTGGGCTGGTGGGTGCGCTCCTTGCTTGCTCTGTTTTGGGCTGCTGGCTAGGCTGGCTGTGCAGGCGCTCAATGGAGGTGGCGAGGGAACTGAGCTCTTCTTGCCGGGGCTTCCGGTATCAAAGAAGAGCCTGCAAGGGAGCAAGAGCTGATGACAGTGCTTCCTTGCCACCCGGCTTGAATATTAGTGGCTTGACACCTTGGGTGGGCCCCAAGGTGGCCAGCCAGAAAGCTCTTGTGGCCCCATAAGACAAGGCATTTGCCTGGGCATTTGGGGTGGCGTTTTTTGCCACCCCCCTGAAAGTGCTGCTCTAGGCAAATGCCTTGTGGTAAATACAGCCCTGGCTGTGCTCGTCTATATCAGGTTCATTGAGAACCTGGGTTGTGACAAGCCTGACAATGCAATTGAGATGATAAAGGGTTGATCCAGATACTTTAATAGCATCTGGCAACCAGCATTTAGATCAGGGGTAAGCAACGTTTGGCACTCCAGATGCTGAAGACTATGTTTCCCTTGATGCTTTGTAAGAGCAAAATATCTGGAGTGCCAAATGTTGCTTAGCCCAGATCTTGATCATTTCTAAAATTGCCAGTCTGTTTGTGTTTGGTTGTTTTTTGTGTTTTTTTTGTGTGTGTTTTTTGTTTATATAAAAATGTTACCACTCATAGGCGTGTGCATGTGGTGCGCCTGGGCACATCCTAATCCCTGCGGTGTGTCTCATCAAAGATCTCCCTCACCGGTCCACAGGCAGGGGGGAGGCAGGAGAGAAACCGGGGAGCTCTAGCCAGCAGGCTAGAGTTCACTCACCATTAGGACCACCAGAGATCAGGGATGGCAGCAAGAATCCCCCTCCCAGGCAAAAGGTAAGAAGGGAGGGGGGCTATTTTCTAATCTGTCCACCTACCCCCACACACAATCCCTCCAAACAAATTCTCACACACACAGCACCCTAACGCACACACCCACGCACACAGCACACTAACAGCACCCTCACACACACACAGTACTGTATGTATGTGTGTGTGTGTGTATGTATGTATGTATATATATATATATATAAATATATATAAACACACACACATATACACGCGGCGTGTGTTTGTGCTTTAGGGTGCACACCCTTATGCAAACAGGCTGCGCACACCTATGTTAACACCATTTTTATAAATCCACCAATAGATGAAGTATGCTAGTAATTTAGTCTTTTGGGTAAGCTTAAATCGTCATGGGGTTGTGGTGCTACGACTGTTGTCCTTGGGTTTTCTGATAAACCATTTTTAAGAAGTTTGCCAAATAAGACTATCCCTGACAATCATAGCCTGCTCCCCTCAGTGTTAATTGTGGCGGCAAATTTCAATTTTGTTTTAATCATAGTCTTTTGACTAAAAAGCCATTTTAGTTTTAGTCATATTTTAGTCATCTGAATTGTTTTAATTTTAGTCTCGTTTTAGTCAACTACATCTCCAGAAGATTGGAGTTGACATGGCTAAAATCTAATGGGTTTAGTTAAAGCCTCTATTTGTCTCTTTTGCCTCTTTCCCCTGCTCCTTTGTGTCCTCCCAGTCTTTCTAGGTGTCTCTCTTGTATTGTGCCATTAAAGGGATACTATAAGTGCCAGGAATACAAAACTCTCTCTGCCCACCCCCACAAACCCCTCCCCCCCCCGGTAAATAAAGGGTTAAACGTTAATTTACTTACATTTTTCCAGCGCCTTTTTCCACCTCTCCATTGATTCAGTGCTTTCCTATGGGGCAAAAAATCTGATGCTAGATGTCCTCATGCAGAGCGTGAGGACGTCCAGCGTCAGATACCAAACCAAAGGTCCGTTTCCACTCAGGAAGCCCTCTAGTGGCTGTCTGGCAGACTTAGAGCTGCAATGCAAACATTGTAGTTTCATTGGAACTGCAATGTTTAACATTGCAGCACTAAGTTCAAAATGGACATTGCACCCAGACCACTTCAATTAGTAGAAGCAATCTGGATGCCTACAGTTTAAGAAAAAGCAAAAAAAGTGCAGACTATCTATCACAAAAAAACAATAACTGAAAATAAATTCTATGCTCAAGTAAGTAGTGGAATAGTGCCACTCAAACATTCAGGCTCTGGGTGGCTCAAGAGTGAGTGGTGGATTTTCAATCAGTAAAGCAGGAAATTGGAAAGTCAGTTTCAATACAATTTACACATTAAAAAACCATTACATGTAAGCTGATAATTTGTAGTAAAATCACTAGATTCGGACAGCTACACTAGTCCTCTACTGTACTTTGTATGTTCAATAAGTTTGTTATATATCGTCCTCTCCTGCAAGCCAGTTCTGGCTTCCTACAATGTATAGTGTCTATAAAAAAAATGCCCACATATCAGATCACTATAAAGTGGTACATCAAAGTAATAACAATACAAAAAATAATAATGTCTTCGCAATAACATTGAGGGAATTATCTACTAAACAAATATTACATATGCTCATTTAAGCATAATAGATATAAAGAATATTAGACAATTATAGTGAATCAAGTAATAGTATCACACCCCAATATCTAATATATATATTATAATGTGTATCTAAGATAGAGATATATACAGATTATTTAGATCAAAATAAAATGCACATCAGATGCCAAAAAAGCCATATTATTTTAATAAACTGCAATAATTACCTTGCAGGGTTAACTCCACCTCTAGTGGCTGTCTACTAGACAGCTAGTAGAGGGCACTTCCTGCTCTATAGGACCTCCAGCGTCGCTCAATTCCCCATAGGAAAACATTGAAAAGCATTTTTATAAACTGCAATAATTACCTTGCAGGGTTAACGCCACCTCTAGTGGCTGTCTACTAGACAGCTACTAGAGGGCACTTCCTGCTCTATAGGACCTCCAGCGTTGCTTAATTCAGTTTTCAACGCTTTCCTATGGGGAGCTCTAATGCGCATGACCGGCTGGCATCACCGGCCGACGTAAAGACTGGGAGGAGCGGCGGCAAGAAGAAACCACCGTCGAGGTACATCGGCGGGGTCTCAGGTAAGTGACTGAAGGGGGCAGAATATTACATTTTTCAACTCAAGACAAGTACAATATATGAACATAGCTAAATAAATTTGCTCATCAAATGACATAATACAGGTTTCAGGATGGTAATTGAGATTAGATATGTGGTTCAGAGGGCCAGAAAA